ATCCAAGTGTGTGTTGAGGACCTGGGCAGTGCTTTCTACACATTCAGAGGCCAGGATGTACAGCTGTCCTGTTGTCTTACACTGGCACAGGGAGTAACTGGGGGAAAAAGAAAAAACAAACATTATGACTCTTGATTTTAATTCCTGAGACTAGAAAATGGGATGTATTACACCTTGAACCATTATCATATCACACAGTACTGAATTTATTGTTTTGTTTGAATGTTTGTTTTGCATATTAACCAATAAACTGCCTTTAATCATAACACACCGGTTGTCTACAGTAAGTACAAGCTGTATAAGACCAGACTGTTTGAACCACTCACACTGGGAAAGACCCCTGCTCTTTTCTTTGGGATCTTTAACATGCTTAGGTCTGACTCTCCTCATACATAGGTTAAGAGAGGACGTCCCTTACTGAAGCTAGGTACTGATCATTTAAGTGCATTTCCCAAGGACACAACAATTAGAACTGGTAGGTATTTGAATGCAGAGCCTTTAGATTCTGTGTCAACAACACTAATCACATGTTAGTTGCATATTTTGCAAGCAGACAGAAGAATAGTGATAGTACTCTTACTCATGACTAGGTGTGTAACACATGGCTTCATTGGCAGGGATGGTCCAGGGTAAGGTGGTCCAAGTCAGGACTGAAATGTTTTGTCTTCCTCCTGCAAAATGACAAAACTGACTGTTTAAATGTACATATTCCTCGTCAACAGCAATAAACTAAACATTTGATTTAATTTGTACTTTCACTGCTTTAACTATAACATAAAGGGACTTAAAAGAATTGCTTATCAACAAGACTATAAAGTATAATACACTTTTATTCCATTGCAAAGTACATTAACAAAACATTAACAAACTTAGTTACATTGTATATATTTTGCACAAAAGAATTGACAAGGTACAAAGAGAATTACCTACTACATCCTTCAAGCCTGGTGACAACGTGGCTAGCGGGAACTTGGTATACACTGCATGGCTGATATGGTCTTCTTTATACTCTAACTCTGCTTCTGCAAGAGCAGTTCTGGAACAAAGCAATGCACGGATAAACCACCAATATATGTACTGTATGAACTACACTTCTGAGTTGTTTACAATTTCTTTTTCAAAAATGAACAGTTCTTTATTTGTTTGGAATTACACACTATGTCAACTATATAACATTCAAAAGAAAATAACATCTTACCTTGAAGAAGGGGAGTAGAATACAGGTTTGAAGTCCTGGTATATATAGCCCTGTGATGGAAACACCATCAACATTATCATCTATCATGCGCATCAACATTCAACATTATTAATATTAATATTATCTCAACTAGAGAGGCTGACATTTGTAAGCATACACAACATATTTCACTCCATCCCCCACGCACAATTGCATTCCAAAAGTACAGTTGAATCCATTTGACCAAATGGCAGAGAAAAAAGAAACATCAGGAAAACAATATATTTCCTTCATACCTATGGTATGGAGTAAAATATAAATACAGACTGTGTCATTATTTTTCCATGAATAAGACAAGAAGTTCAGAACTTCACAGATGAATGACTGATAAATGCCTACCTTTTCATACATTTCGTAAAATACCTCCAGTTGCTTTGCCTCATACTGCTTGTCAAATGTGAAGTAACATCCATTGTCCCTGGTGGATTAAAAACATGAATGAAAAAATCAAATAGTCAATTAGCTGTTACTGAAGAACCATCCCTTCCCCTAGTACTAAAGAACCACCCCTTCCCCTAGCACTGAAGAACCATCCCTTCCCCTAGTACTGAAGAACCATCCCTTCCCCTAGCACTAAAGAACCATCCCATCCCCTAGTACTGAAGAACCATCCCTTCCCCTAGTACTGAAGAACCATCCCTTCCCCTAGCACTGAAGAAACGTCCCTTCAACTAGTAATGAAGAGCTATCCCTTCAACTAGCACTGAAGAGCCATCCCTTCCCCTAGCACTGAAGAGCCATCCCTTCCCCTAGTACTGAAGAGCTATCCCTTCAACTGGTACTGAAGAACCATCCCTTTAACTAGCACTGAAGAACCATCCCTTCAACTAGTACTGAAGAACCATCCCTTCAACTAGTACTGAAGAACCATCCCTTCCCCTAGTACTGAAGAGCTATCCCTTCAACTAGTACTGAAGAACCATCCCTTTCCTTAGTACTGAAGAACCATCCCTATCCCTAGTACTGAAAAGCCATCCCTTTCCTTAGTACTGAAGAACCATCCCTTCCCCTAGAACTGAAGATCTATCCCTTCAACTAGTACTGAAGAACCATCCCTTCCCCTAGAACTGAAGAGCTATCCCTTCAACTAGTACTGAAGAACCATCCCTTCAACTAGTACTGAAGAACCATCCCTTCAACTAGTACTGAAGAACCATCCCTTCAACTAGTACTGAAGAACCATCCCTTCAACTAGTACTGAAGAACCATCCCTTCAACTAGTACTGAAGAACCATCCCTTTCCTTAGTACTGAAGAGCTATCCCTTCAACTAGTGCTGAAGAACCATCCCTTCAACCAGTACTGAAGAACCATCCCTTCCCCTAGTACTGAAGAACCATCCCTTTCCCTAGTACTGAAGAACCATCCCTTCAACTAGTAGTTACTGAAGAACCATCCCTTTCCTTAGTACTAAAGAGCCATCTCTTTCCCTGGTACTGAAGAACCATCCCTTTCCCTGGTACTGAAGAACCATCCCTTTCCCTGGTACTGAAGAACCATCCCTTTCCTTAGTACTGAAGAACCATCCCTTCCCCTGGTCTGAAGAACTACTAGTATCCCTGTCCCTACTGATTTATGGTAAATACTGCCTACTATTAATGCTCTCATTACTGCTGAACCCCATAACCAATACAATCTATGTGCCAAATGGCTACTATGGTATTCTGAAGGTTAAAAACTGTATGTAGCTCACCAGTCTGCCATGACTCCCCACCTCCTAAAGGCATCCACCTGACTCCTTATGGCCTTCTCTGCAAACTGTTTTGCTAGTGACAACAAGGGACAAGAGGTGTTTAGGTGCATAACTGAGGATATGTTTTTGTCCAACACTTAAATCATCTGTAATGGTGGACAGTAATCTGAAACTGCAAAAAATGCTCATGACTGTCACTTAGTGGAGTTCTGTACGTCTGTTTTTAGGACAGTTACTGACTAGAAATCAAACTCCTTGCTACTTCATGAATTGCTCATACAAACCACATACTCGTTGACAACAGTACCACGCATTATGGTAAAGAAAAGGTACAGGTAGTCCCATAGCCCTTTTCAGGCGGTAGGAGCAGTGGGTTCTTTTCAACTGTGTCCAGGACACAGTATTGAAAGGTGTAGCCCATCCCTCTCCTTTCACGACTTTTTACCTCAACCAAAGTCTGTCAGGTACCCATTTTACATCTGTCCACCCCATGTCTGCTATCATAGACAAACAGACATTTTTTTTAATGCTACAAAATATAACACAAAGAATTTTTCCTCACCTTTGTTCCTGATCTGCAGAGGTTGTAGATGTCTGAAGTTGTCCCTGCCTGCTGACAGTGCCTTCAGCTCTATGGGCAGGCCATGGCAGTCCCAGCCTGGTCTGTAGTCTACACGGTATCCACGCAGCAGCTTGTACCTGTTTATCATGTCTTTAAGGATCTGAAAAAAAAGGTACAATTAAAGTCATTGTTCCATCTTAAATTAGCATTTAAATGAAGGAACATATATCTATATGAATGTCTCTTAGTATCATGAGGCAATATACTGTAGGGAAGTCCAAAAGTTCAATTTTTAGAATAGGTATTTTTCAATCTTCCTTTACTATCTTAGATGACAACAATCAACAGATCTTCTTTTGTGCTCGACAAAACATGGAAAAGAAAGTATGCAATATAACATGGAAGATAAGGAAAAAAGATAACATCTCAATGTTAAAGAAAATGTCATTCTCAATTCATTACTTCACAGTAGACAGTATTGTTTTCACCTTGTTGAGGGTGTGTCCCACATGAGGGTCACCATTAGCATACGGTGGTCCGTCATGGAGTATAAAGTCCTTCTGTCTGTCCTGTTGTCTCTGCCATGAGTACAGCTCAGAGAATCCACAAACCTTAACAAAACATACAATTTCATAACTTAAGAACAAAAAACACAGGTGTGAAATATAAGATAGACAATTTTTGCT